GTAAAGTTATTGGCTTATGTCTCTATTTATTACAAAATGATTGTTGTTTGGAAAAGAGGAATTATATGTTCTGAACGAGTAGATTCTGGAGATATATTTATGTATTTTGTATTTTCTCAATCCCGTCAAAAATTATCATTAAGATTAAGATATCTCATGGGAGATGATATGACATTAGAGTCAATGAAATTATTTAGAGAAATAGAACATTTATTAAGTACTTTATCAAATAGGTTTGATATACAATATGATATTCATATTATGTGTAGTTGTTGTGTTACAAAAGACAAACCATTCTTATTCAACAAAGAACAAATTAAAAATTCAATTAAAAATAAAGTATTTGAGAAAATTGAAAGTGACAATAAAGAACATTATGTTGTTTTACCATTATTTGCATTAGACCTTTTATTTATATGTTTAAAAGAAGTTGTTGGTTATTGTCTTTCTGTAAAAGATGTTCACCAAGAAAAGGTATTAACACGAGGAAGTTCATCAATTATATCAGTTGGACATATTGGAAATGATACAAAAAAGAAGGTAGTAATAAAAGAAATAAATGTAGATATTAGTATGTGTCATATGGAAGGAATTAAATCATCTGTTGAAGAATATTTGTTACGAGTTGGAGAGTTTATTCATGAAGTTTATTCAATTCAATTCCAACCAAATGAAAACCTTGCTAGAGTTTATAACTATGTTGAATGTCCAATGATGATTATTATGGAATATTTTGAAGATGGTAATTTATTCGAATATATAGAACATTATCCATCTCTGAGTTATGAAGAAGTTAGAAGTGTTGGTCTTCAAATTGCAAATGGAATTAAACAACTTCATCTTATAAAACATATTCATAGAGACTTAAAAACACCAAATATATTAGTAGAATTAGACTCAAATAAAAAAATAAAAAGATGTGCTCTTACAGACTTTGGAGAAACTATTCCAGAAGACCAAAGTGGACCATGTAATGTTGTTGAATGTCCATATTGGCTTGCTCCAGAAGTTATTTTAAATAATCATTTCACAGAAGCTAGTGATGTTTTTTCATTTGGAATGATCTTATGGGAATTGTATTGTTGGAGTCATCCATTTCCAGATGTTAAAAACCTTAGTGTAGTTAGGGATATGGTTGCTTCATATACAATGCCTGAAGTTCCACAAAAAGATGTTCTTTTGTCTAAAATTATTCATTCATGTTGGGAACATGAAGAATATCGAAGTGATATTTTTACGGTTGTAGCACAATTAGTTGACACACAAAATTTTTCAAAATCTATGACTGGAGAATTAGGATTATTTAAATTATTAAAAACAAAAAAGTCTAGTGAAGACGCAAAGAAAAAGACATTCTTTAAAAGTTCATTAAATCTTACATTTTCATCTCCTAAATAAATTGAATTATTTGTTATTTTCAAATTTTAGTAATTAAAAGAATTAATAAGTAAATGGTGGAATAATAGGTTCTTTTATTTCTTCCTGTTTTCTTTTTCGTTCATTATAATCAAATTGTAATATTCTTTGTGGAGCTTCAATAGAACAACTTTCAAAAATAAAATTTTTTGAATACCAAGGTTCTATAAATCCATATTTAAAAGGTAACTCTTTATCTTCTTGATGTTGTTTATTAAAACATTGAATAATACTTCCTTCTACAATGTTTTTATTTTTATATGAAAGAAAAGAACCTTTAGTAATGATATCTATTTGAGATGGTTGTGAAGTATCATATTCATTAGGAATAAGAGTTCCTTTAACATATTGTTTTGTTGACCATAACTCATGCCATCCCCAATGAACACTATTTAAGTCTTGAAAAAGTTTTGATTCTGTAATAATTTTAATGATTTGAAGAATATCCATTTGTTGTGGATTACGAAAATATTCATAAAATTCTGATTGACTTGTATTTAACCACTCTAATCCATTTGGGAGTTTTGATTTACATGAACTAATTAATATCTGATATATTAAAGGATGTATTGGCCTTCCTAAACTAAATGAATTAGACGAGCAATGTTGAATTAAATCAGTTATTTCTGGTGGTGCATTAAATTGATAAAACCAATCCCAATCAGGAATTCCTCTAAAAGTTGAAATACAACACCACTCTATTCCTTTCCAATACATTTGACAAATATATTCAACATCTTTTTGTGAGGCAATAGTATTTAAACATTTAACGTATTGTGTTGTATGTGTATTTTTACTTCTTCCTCGAATTGTAATTAAATCTTTTCTTAATTTTTTTGCTACTTGATCATTGTGATAATTAAGTTGATCAATTTCATATTCTACATTTCCAATTAATCTTCTACCTCTTTCTACTTCTTTCTTTTTTATTTCTTCAATTTGATGTTGAAATGTACTTGATAAAATTTTTCCTATGAATTGTTTTGATATTGTTCCATTAGAACTTATTGCTTGTGTCTTAATTTCTCTTTGATATTCTCGTAATAACCCATCTAATGAAATCTCTCCTTCTTGTGGAATCACATCATTTTCAGTTATTAAAGATAATACAACTAAATCATCAACTAATTGAGTTAAATTATGATTTATTAAGTCAATATTATAACTTTCTAATAATGTTAATGCTGTTGGGATTAAGTCAAACATTATTCCTACCGATGGAATGTAAATAACACTTTTTGATAAATGAAGTGAAAGAAATTGGAAAGGCATTGAATTAGATATAAAACAATGAGTGTTATCTAATGGACAATTCATACATTCTAATTGTTTTCTAACAAAATCAAGACTTTTTTGATTTGCCTCACCACAAACTGACTTATCAGAAAGAATAACTTCTACTGAAGGGTGTTTTTGAATAAAATTTTTAATTAAATTATCAAAGTCAATTGGATGTGTATTTTATGTTTTCTTGAACGAAGAAGAGCAAGAGGAACAATACCTTCAATAAAAATACATAACATTTTTGTTGGAATACAAATTTGGAGAAAGGATTCAATATCATTAATATTAAATACATCATAAATAGATATAGATATGTAAACATAATCAAATTCTTGTATAATAGGTTTAGTAATAGTATTAGGACAACGAGAGGAAATTAAATTGATAAACTTACTCATAATAATAAAATAACAAAAAATCTTATTTTTTTTTTTTAATTTTTTCTACAAAAAAAAAAGAAAAAAAATAATAAAAAACTTCTTTTCATTTATTACTCCTTCATGAACGAAGAACTTTTAAACAAAATCATTGAATTACAACAAATTATCATCCAAACTCAAAATGAACTAATACAATGTAAAAATCGTCTTGATTTTGTTGAAAAGAAATACACACAAATGGAAGTAAAAATGAAAGATTATTATCTTTTAAAGAAAGAAGTAGAAGAATTAAAAAAAAAATTATCAATAAAATTTGAAGAAACAAACCAAGAAGAACAACAATTAGTTGAAATAGAAGAAACAAATGAAAAAAGTTTATATGAAAAAAAAATGATATTACTTATGAATGAAATGAGAGAATGGACAGGAAGAATAAAGATGAATATTATTTTTGATAGTGATATTGATGATCAAAATGTAGTATGTTTTCAACGATCATTAATGAATAAACCATCACTTTATATAATTCTTTTTGATGAAAAAGGAAATATTTTTGGAGGATATAATAGAAAGTCTATTTCAAGACCTGGAAAAAGAATGGAAGATAAAAGTCATTTCATTTTTTCTTTAGAATCTAATGAAAGAATTGACTCTCCTATTCGTTGGTTTGGAAGAGATGATAAACCTTCAACTTGTTTCTTTCTTAATAGAGAAACAAATCAAATTGGTAGATTATGTGAAATAGGTTTTCCTGATGGATTTATTTCAGTAGCTAAAACTACAATTTCACAAAGTGGATGTGTTAATATATCAAATAAATATAAAGGGATTGATAATGATGATTTGAATAATACAAATAATGAAGTGTTTAAATTAATAAGAATTCTTGTTGTACAAATGGAATGAAAGAATTATTCAATTTAACTTAATTTTTTATTAATTTTATTTTATAAGAAAAGAGAAAAACTAAAAAGTAATAAAAAACCCTTAAGGGTTAATCTTATTCAAAAAATGAATCGATTAGAAGTGTATGTTGGTAATTTGAGTTTAAATACTGACAAAGATAAATTAAAAGAAGTATTTGCATCAGTTGGAGAAATAAAGAATTGTTGGTTAATTTTTTTATTTTATTTCATTTATTTGTTAATTGAAACAAAATAAGAATTTAATTTGTTTAGCTCGTGTTGCAACTCATAAAGATGGAGCTTCAAAAGGTTTTGGATTTGTTACTTTTAATGATGAAGAAACTGCTGAAAAAGCAGTAAATGAAATGAATGGTAAAGAAATTGATGGATCAATTGTTGTAGTCCAAATATCACGTCCACAAGATAGAAAACGAAGAGACCATTATCGTAGCAGTTATAGACACTCATATCATGGAAGAAGTTATGATAGGTCAAGAAGTCGTTCTTCTAGAAGAAGGTCAAGAAGCAGATCTAGTAGAAGAAGATATCGATCAAGAAGTAATAGAAGACATAATAGATCAAGAAGTAGATCTAGTAGAAGAAGATATAATAGGTCAAGAAGTGTATCATCTTATTCAAAGTCAAGAAGAGATAAAAGTTCTGGAGGTCGTTCTGGTAGCAGCTCACCAAAAAGGGGTGAACGTAAAAGTTTTAGGGTAAATGATTCTTCCATTCCATCAAAAAATGAAATTCCAAAAGGGTCTGATGATAAATAATTCCCATAGTTTTCAAAGATTGCCTTCCAATTCCATTTTACTTTCTAACTGTTCCAACATCCATCCAATTCCATGTAAAATTACTTTTCATCTAAAAATTTATAACATAAGTAGAAAAAATCTTTGTTGTCATTCCTTTTCAACTTAATAACAACAAAAAATGAAATTATCGAAGAATTAATCAAAAAATATAGTTTTTTATAAAAATTTTTTAAATTATAAGATCCTTTAAAAATTTAATGAAACCAAACTTAAAGAAAGATGAAGATATTCATTTAACTGTTAAAAAAAGAGAATCCCGAGATGAAGAGGCAACATTGGCTGATGGATATTTATACATTTTGATTAGAGAATTTGGATTTAGTGCAAAACTTAAACAAACAAAACATGCAGAAAAAACAATTAAATTATATTGTGTTGATGAGTTATTTATTGAAAATGAACTTTGTGTTAGTCAAGAAGACATCCAAAAAGAAGGTAGAAAATTACAACATCGATTTGGAGTTGATACTATTACTACACCAATGAATCCTAAACAAGAAAGAAGATCAAAAGAAGCAGAAGTAAGTAATGGTTATCTTCAAATGTTAATTAATGTTGGATATAATCCTGAATTTAAAGGAACACGTTCTGCTAGAAAAACCATTAAAATGTATAGAATTAAAAAAATGGAATCTCCTACAAAAGTTATTCTTGAAAAAAGTGTTTTAATGGAATTTGGAAAACGTCTTGATGCTGTTGTAAAAGAACAATTTCAAAAAGGTTTGAGAATAATGATTATTACTCCTGAAATGCTTGCTCTAAACGAAGAATCTTTAAATGGAATAAAACTAACAGATTTTTTATCACAACAACCTAATCAAAAAGGAAAAAATGAAAGTGATAAAGAAGGAAATGATTCTACTACAGAAGATATTACTCAATCATATGATTATAGTAGTGTCAACTAATAAAAAAAAAGATGATGATGTAAGAGATAGTTTGTAAGATGAAAATTGTCAAATTTATTTTAAGGTTTTTATAGTTATTTTATAATAGGATAATTAAAGTTGTAAATGTTGAGAAATGAAGGAAAAAATAAAATTTGTTGTAATCAATTCCTTCTCGTTTTATTTCTATTTTCATTTATATGAAATTCAGTTGAACATACTAAAATTAGAACTTTTATTGATATATTTAGAAGGGGTATCAAGTTATTTGATGTAATCAACTAGACTAACTTGATACTCTCATACCATGAGTCATAAAGAAAGAGAACATCGTGAAAAAGTATTTGATTCAGTATTTAATTCACAGATAAAATCATTACCAATGAATAAAATTATGAATATTGGGGTTATTGTGAGAAATATAATACAATCAACAAATGTTCCTTATAAAATTAGTACAATTGATGAATGTTGTAGTATGTCTACAGTTAGTTATTATGCAATAATTAATGGTCAAAAAACAGGTGAACCAATTTGTGATCGTATTGGTTTAAAATTATTTGAAAATAGTGCTGTTTATGTAGTAGCTGATGGTTGTGGATGGGGAGTTGCTTCATGTAAAGCTGCAGAAATAGCAATAGACACAGTTTTTAGTACAATGAATTGTTTAAATAAATGTGAAAATATAAGAGATGTTGGTGAATTAGAATTAAAAGCAGTAAAAGAGGCTAATGAAGCAATTCTTAGATCTGACTCAAGTTTATTAAATATTGGAACAACAACATTATTAATTATTGCAATAGTTCCATTAGAAACAGGAAGTTATAATGGAGTATATTGTAGTATAGGTGATTGTAGTGCATATAATTATAATAGTGAATCACAAGAAGTAAATTTATTATGTGGAAAAATACTTTCAAAAATTGGAGAAACAAGAAATTGTGGGGGTAAATTAGGGAGTACTGAAAATTACATTCCAGGGGTAGTTGATGGTGTTTTAGGTAAAATTGAATTAAAAGAAAATGACATTGTAATGGTAATGACTGATGGAATTCATCATAACTTAAATCCTTATTTCAGAAAAATGTTATTTACTGGTTCTGCTGAGAAAAAAGGATGTCAGTTATTAAAGAATTTTATTGAATCAAGTGTTACATTCTCTGATATTACAGAAAATGTGCTTAAAGATGTTTATGATTTAACACAACCTTCAAGGATATTTCTAAAAACACATCCTAAAACTAAACTTCCAGAAAGTATGGCAGGTAAATTAGATCATGCTTCTTTTGGTTGTATTCGTGTTGGTGGTTGGATTAACAAATATAACTCATTAGTTAGTACTATTACCCCTCCTTTTTTTAATGACCTTGTTTCATCTCCTTGGATCCAACATACCTTCTTCCGTCAAATTAAATCAAATGAACATAATTCCCCATTTATTTCTTCTCCTTTAGAAAGTCACTCTGCTCGAGCTAGAAGTATTTCTCCAAACACAATACACTCTCCAACCATACCTACTGAACACTATTCTTTTTCTCCTAAAGACCCTCATTATTTTGCATTTAATAAAACATCGCCAAATAGACATTTCTCTCCTTTGTGTCACTCTTTTGGTTTACCAATGAACTGTTTACAATTGTCTGATGCTTCTCGAAGAAAGTCTTCTAGTTCTGAAAGTCTTTCTCCTGACTTTTTTGAAATAAATAAAGCACCGTTAAGAAGAAGAAGTAAAGACTCAAAAACATCGAGTTTCTTTGACTTTTTTACTTGTCAAAATGATGAATTAACTGATGGTGAAGTTAGTTATTGAATTAGTAGAATGAGTCTTATGTATGTTTATTGAATAATAAATTATATTTTTTTATCTAATTTCTTTTTTAACTTAAACGTGGTGGTAAATATCAATTAAATGACATAAAATTATAAAACAAAATTAAGGTTTTAAAATCTTATTACTAATCCTGTTATGGCATGTTATTTTTTATATAAAATAATCTCTTTTTTGTTTTTAAGTTTGTTTTGTATTAAAGAAAAAAAAAGTATCATTAAATATAATTTTTAGTATTTATTTATAAAAGAATTGAAATTTTATAATATGAAATATATATTAGTCATAAAAAATAACTTCTATCAATAATTAATAAGTTTTAAGAAGAGAGTATCCAGCCATAATGATATTATATGAATATAATTTTTTTTAAATCAAAATAATATAATAAATATAATAAATATAATAAATGAAATAAAACATTCTTTTTCTTTATTTTTTTTTAAAAATGGGTCAATAACTTAAATGAAGGATTATTTAGTTTGAGTTAATTAAAAAACTAGTACATTAAAAGAAATAAAGAGTATAAAAGAAACTCTATTAGATTTTCATTATTCACTATAATAAAAATATAAATAGTAGATAATCAGAATTAATTTATTTCTCACAATAACTAACGAATTAAATTTGAAGAATAACAGAATATGTTATAAATAAATTCTAATATTTCTTTCTGTTCTTTCTATTTGAAAAAAAGAAGAACTAAAAAATTGTTGTAATATTTTATATGAACTTTGCAAAAGCTTGTCTTCATTTAGATATTAATACTATCAAAAAATGTTACACTGGGATGGAGCCATTATATCGAGTCATTGTATTATCAAATATATCAGTTTCTTTTTTTGTAAGAATTATGTCATTAATAACTTTACTAATTAATGAAGGAATGCTTAGTTATGAAAATAACGATTCATTTGATATTACTTTTAATAGAGTTTCATGTATAGAATTAACAAATCATTTACAACTTATATGGACATCGTTTTTAATTGATTCATTAACATTAAGTTGTATTCCATCATTTATTGGAATGTATATTATTGTATTAATTATGTGGATGATATGGATTCCTTTACATTTCATTAGTTCAATTAAATTTGATATATTTCCAATTACTTTAATGTCAGTTTATACAGTAACATTTCTTTTCTTATCATTAATTGGAACATTAAGATATTTTAATAATGCACCATTTTTCCCAACACCAATCTTTGCAGAACGTAAATCATTTCTCAATCGTTCTTTTACATCATTAATATTAGTTCAATATATCTTTGGAGAAACTGTTCTTCATTTCTTACCAACAACACAAACAGCTTCTTTCTTTTATAAAGTATTACATATTCTTTGTCCACTTCTCCTTCTTATTTTTATTTATTTACCATTAAGAAAACATTATACATTAGGATATACAGTATTAGCAATTATCCTTCCTTTATTTGCATCTTATTTTGCTTTAGGTCACAATTTTGGTATTCAATATTATTTCTTCTGTTTGTTAAGTTTTTTTTTTAAAGTAATAGCCACAAATAGTGCTCATTTCCTAGTTGTCTTTTATTGTATTTTTTCAATTGGACAAGGGATTATGCTTTACATCCTTTATCCAACATTACCTGACAAACCAAATCTTGAAATTTTAATGGAATAACAAAGTTCTTTTTTGGTATTTATCTTGTTTTAAATAACATATTTATTTTAATTTTGTTATATAAAACAATTTAATTCAACTAATAAAAAAAAACTAAAAATTAAAAAAAAAAAGAAGTGGTGATGAATTTTTTTTGAAGAGAAGAAAGAAAAACAAAAAAATTAAAATGGTCATTCATCAATTGAAAAATTAGGAGGACATTAAAATTTCGATAATTGGGATATGGATCAATTTAATGATGTAACCACAAAAACCAAGGATTGCAAACCCAATTAAAACGGCATAAATTGTTTTTGTATATTCTATAGAATAATTAATACAATAATCTTTTTTTGATGAATAAATTAATTATTCAACAAACCCTTTCTATCTGGTTTATTACATTTAGTGATAAATCTCTTACTATCAGAAATAAATTCTTCAGTTGGTTCAAGAACATATTGTTCAAGGGTATCCATTGCTCCTTTATTTAATTTTAAGTTCTTTCTTTTTTTAAGTTTTCAGATGGTTATTAAAATTAAAATAATGTTATAAAAAACATTTTAAATGTTTCATATTCTTGAGAAGTAAAAAGAGAAAAAAGGAACTTTGTATTTTAATTGTTAATGCAGTTTATTGATTATACATTAATTCAACCAACTGCTATCACTTCATGTTGTAATGGAAATATTCGTTCTAAAGAATCAAATGATTTTGTAGTTGTTAAAGCAGAAAGAAAAATAGAATTTATTACAGTAGATTCAAATGAAAATGATATTGTTTTAGATTTGTTTGTACAATTAGATAGTTATAATACAGTTAATAATGTTCTTTGCCTAAAGAATTTATCAAATAATCAAACAGATTATATTATAATTGCTTTATGTGATGCGATTAATATTATTCAAATGGAAGGTTTTAAATTTAAATTAGTACAACGAATTGACCTTGAAAAAAAAACAGAAAGATTTATTAAATCAAGGTATCTTGCTGTTGATGAAGAAAATAGTTCATTTATTACAGGTGCAATTCAAGGTGGTTTTGATTATTTTAAAGAAGAAAATGGTACATTTTTAAAAGAAGAAGTGAGTATTGATAATTGTGTTTGTTTTGGAATTGTATCAATTGGAAATAATTGTTATGCAACATTAGTCTATTTAATGAATGAAAAAAAGAAATATGTTAAAGTATTTGATTGTAATAATTCACCTCAAGAAATAAAAAACATAGAAGTTAATAATGAAACTGAATCAATATTTAGTTTGTTCTTATATTCAATTATAAATTATGTATTTATATAAATAGAAGTTAGTACAAATTCTTTTGCTTTAACTATGAATAATCAAATTATTATTTACAATAATTATACACCATCTATTTATTTATTACCTCATAGAGAAACAATGAATGAAAATATTATTGTTCATATCACTAATGTTCTCTTTGTTCCATTAAATAATCAAAATGTATTATTAATTCAAAATGAATTAGGTGATCTTTTTAGAATTCTTCCAAATTCATCTACAATTGAGTATTTTGATACTATTCCACCTTCAGTAAGTTGGT